AACCAGCATCAGCGAAAAGGAATGCTGCAACAAACAGTATGATGTGCATGAAATAAATCATCACGAATTCGTCTCATTGCAGGCATTTTTTTGTACTAGTAACGAGCAGATTCGCTGATATACCTGCGGAGTTTTTGTCTGTATTGATGACCCAATCAGCGCTCGATGCCAACAGACCATGTTGAAGGAACACCACAGGTCGTTCACCGTACGGTTCGCTACCTGTTTCTTTAACAAATACATTTTACTTATCAATATCTATATATTACGTCAAATGAATGCAGATAAAGATAACTTAGCAGGAAAAATTGGTATGATAGAAACAATTTAATGGCGCTCATCATCGTGATGTAATGGTCATACTTCAGTGGTCTTTCATTCATTTTCATATTCATCCTGATAATTCTCAACAATATAAGTCCACATAACTTACAATACTGCTCATTTCAGTCAAGAAGAAATTAGTGATGATAATGGCATATATACTCATCGGAATATTGTAAAGAATGAGATGCATTCATAATTCCCATGACAATAAAGCATCAGAATTTGTACAATGTCAAGCATAACCAACCGTTTTTGCCATGCGGAATACGATGCATTTGCAGGAAGTATCCATCATCTGTTTTAACATCGACTAATTCGGCTGGGTAACCGTAATATGCTATTATTTCCATCTGAAATAATTTCAAACGAATCAATAAGATTGATCGAGCTTGGAGTTTGAGTTACGGAATCAGTGTTGACAGAAACAGGATTAGGTATTTACATGGAAACAAACATAGGATTATTCGGTAGCTATTTATGCATTTATGCACGTCAGCGATTGAAAAAAAAGAATAACTTACAACATTCATGTGGACTTCCGGTGGTTCAGTCGCATACAAAACTGAGACTGTCATCAGAACCGCAAATGGTTTTGTGATACGCATCTGAAACGATGTTCACCTCAGAAAGAACGACAATAATATTAGAAGCAAATTTGCAACCCGACGACAATTAATGAACACATTAAAGCCGACAAAATATGACGAAAAGTTGGCTAAAACAATGCTTTTTGAATTTTGAACAGGCGATGATCAAACGAAATGATGAATTCACTGGAAGTTTGTTGAGGAAAACCCCAAAGTGAATGTGCGTTAAGAACGGGGAACCATAACACATTCCAATGTTCACGAATCACAGCTGATGACTCATATGAAGTGTGAAGCAGCAGCTGACCGAGATGATGGATCTATGAATCATAGTGGCTTTCAGTGATCAGCGGTTATAGCAAGAGCAGATAACAATGTGGTGGTGGCAAGACATCAGAGGTATGGGATCAATTGAGTGAATATAAAGAATGCTCATAACATAAAGTTTCATTTACCCTGAAGATATGAGGATATACGTCAGCGAATTGTTTCGCATACACCAAAAAAACAGCAATAAAATCAATGGAATCTCTTGAAGTGATAAACATAATCTTCAATATGATCTGAACGAGGAAAGATCCATAGGGATTAATCACATCTGCAAATGTTAGAACGGGAACATTGCAGTAGCATTTGCTGTCATTATGAGCTGCACATTTTATCGATTTGACCGATGTACGATAAAACAAAGTCCATCCACATTCTTTAGTCATCAACGAAATGATTTTCGCCGGAAAGAAAAGATAAGCCGATGTTCTCGAATAGGTCAACTGATAAGCGTCAAGATGATTGCATCACCGTATGGCAAAAATAGTCTAATCGTAAACCCAAACACGCCCTGATAAGTGCTTATAATCGGCATATTATAGCAATGAATGTTCTGTGCACACTCGAGGTCATAACATAGAAACGAAT